GCCACTGCCACTGCCGCCGCCGCCGCCGCTGCCACTGCCACTGCAATAGCTGATGGCACGAGAGTGCGTCGAGAACCGACCCGACACTGGGGGGCCGCTCTTGATGTTAGGACTACTCGCCGTTTCCCATCTGGTCCCCACTGGTGGCAGCTCGAACCGATGGGCAAATCTTGTCATTGTCGAACCTGCATCGAATAACATCCGCAACGCGCATAGACTCGATTTCCCTCCTCACATACAAGCTTTATGCTTTTTATGCGTTTTGTACTCAACATTATACTATTCATACTGAGTCCTTTCCAGAGTAGTTTTTTCATTCATCAAATTATTTTAAAATGCCATAAAAACATGTCAAAATATGGAGTAGTTTTTGAAAGAGCAAAAATTAATTGTTAATTAAACAATTTTACTAATAATATTGTTGAATTTTACTTTTGTTTTGACCGCTCGTCATCTGCAATACGCAGCTTTTCAAAATCAGTGATTGATCAAACAATTACAAAATATTTTGGCACAAACGCACTAAAGCTGCTTTACATCATAGGCAGAACATTTTCTTTTTCATTATCATTTTTTACATTTTTATGACATCGAATATTAAAAAATAAATACATTTGACTTATGAAGTAGCAATGTAGCTCAAATAGGACTTTTGTATATACATTCATCCCTTTAAGGTGAAATTGCATTATAAAAACTTTAATTAAGAGAAGGATTTACTTTTAATGAAGAAGGCTTATAAGATAATTAATTTTATCAAAGTTTAACATTAATGATAAATTTGAATAATAATGCACTGAGTTGTAATAAAAAATTTCAACAATTTAATCAGCATTTATTAACATTTTATAAGGATAAATTATTTTCGTATAACATTAATTAATTCTTTGCGTACATTCTATCTTTGTCTCACTTTATAATCCTCTCTCTCTCTCACTCTCTCTCTCTCTCTCTCTCTCTCTCTCTCTCTCTCTCTATCTATCTATCTATCTATCTATCTATCTCTTTCTTTCTATCTCTCTCATTCACAAATTATATATATATTTCTATTTTGGAAAAAAAATTATCATTTAAAAATGTAGTCATTGATATTGAAACAATCATTATTTATTTATGTAATACTATACATTAAAAAATATGTCAATTAATATTCGTAAATTTATCTGCTGCAATGAAATTTTGAAAACGTTTAATATCATTGATAAGTGAAATATTTGTTAATCATTTTAATTTTTAATAAATAAACGGAAATAAATGAAGTTATACCTCTTTTATTCTTCAGATTCATGATAGTTGAAATTTCAAGAAATAGTATTGAGTAGGAAACTTTATTAATTATTAGAATATTATTTAACTTTAATCATGATTACGTTCAACAGCAAGTTTAATATAATTATTACGAAGTGATAAATATAAGAAAAATTTTTTAAATTTAAACCATACAAGAATCTTTTCATTTAATAATAAAAACTTATAACGATGTTATTATAAATTTTAAAATATTCAAGAGTTTATATTTTAAATATTTTAAATGTTAAATATATAAAATTATTTTAATTATAAGAATCATATATTATGATGAAATAAATGTATCAAGAATTTAAAAATGTGATTTCACCAAATATGAATTGATCAGCTTACATAAATATCGAAAAATTATTTCTGAAATTTATATATATATTTAAAAGCTTAATGTACAATGCACAAATACTAATTATAATATAGTAAAAATGATATTGAATAAAGTTAAGGCTTAAATTTTTTTATATGGTAGAATTGATTTTGTCAATATTAATTTACTGAAGAATCAAATTTTATTACTAAGCAAATTATAAATTTATTCTTACAGCTCACATACTTGTTAAAAATTGTTAAGTTATGTGTTATCATTCTTTTTATATACTTGATATATTAAGAAACGCCATATTTAATTCACATTTTTAACAGAAGAAATAATTATTCGACATAGTTCAACGTTCGGATTATTGTTCAAGTTTATATAAATTACATTTTGAATAAACCATTTATGTCATCCGTAAAGTTTTGTAAAAAACAATGCTGCATAAGTTATTACAAATACACTTTTACAAATATAATAAGATATGAAAAAATCAAATTATTGCATAAGACTTATTGAGATGTTATAAATATACAAAATATAATTTATAGGAACAGAAATTAATTCAAAATTCAATACCAAATGTAAAAGTGAAAGACTAGAAAAGTAACATTTATTGTTAAGCTTAATATACAATTTTATTAAATAACAATTATTGTCATTGCATTACGGACAACTCTCATATAAGCATAGTATTAATATTTTTATATTTCCGATTAATATTTGATATTGTCTTCTATCTCATTATTTATAATGATGAAGCAGAGTAACGTATTTAAAGTACCAGGATTTGTTTAGTTATACGAGTATATGGAACGTTCAAAATTATTCTATATAAATAACATCATTCCATGAACCTAATCATATCAATCAAATACTATAAAAGAAAAAAATTAATATATATATCATTTCAAAGAAATCATGTTAAAATTATTTGGAAATATTTAATTTATTTGGAAAGAAATGAAATAATATATGACGAATAAGTGATATATCAGATATCTATGATACCTAATTCTAAAGATAGAAAGTAGTACATTATAATATATAAAAATATAATATATAAAAAGTATTATAGCTACTTTTTGTTATTAGCTAATGATTCTTTATAGTATAATTAACTATATCAATGTACATGAATCAATTAAGGATTAATTATAATATACTTTAATTTAATTTCAACTCATATTAAGTTAAAAACATGAAGACAGCTTAGAAAAATAAATTATACTTCAACAATAATTTAATATTTCATGTTAAAAAATGAAAATATAATTCGTTTTTTTCTGTTAAATGTTGTTTTTTTTTTAAATAATATTTTATTTTTCTAATAGAAATAGAAAATAAGAAAAATTCTGTTATAAAATTACTTAAATAAATTATGGTATCAAATTATTAATTTTTTTTTATATAAATATTGTTAATAACATTAAATAATATGTAAAAATGTAGCTATTATGATAAACCTTTCAATACTAACATCAAAATGACTTACTTTATATATAGAAATGTAAGCTGAGATCTCTTTTAGTGCTCTTTAAAAAGTATATATAGTCAGATTATAAAAAATTGTATTCATTCGTCGATTAAAATAAAATAAAATTCATCTGATTTCAGTATCTTTAAATTTCTAGGTACTATTGCTTATTTAACAGTTTTTAATTAAAATTCCTTCGAAATTATACGAAAACTTAATTGATTATTCTTACAAAAGCTTTATAATATAACTATTTTTACAATTCAAATATCAACTTTTATTATATATATATACCTTCCAATAAATTGAAATTTAACCTTCGATATTAGAATTTTCGCAAATACAAATTAAATACAATGGCAAATCAAAAGAAAAAATACTTCAAATTTTTTAATAAGTAATTAAAAAAATAACTACATATACAAATTATAATGATACATGTAAAAATAAACGTTGAAGTTTTGTTTAAGGTCACTGCAATATATTTATTTTTACGCTGTAATTTTTTTTTTATGATACAGTAGAAAAATTACTTCTAATTCAATACGATTACTAAAATTGAAAGTATTATAAAATTTCATTATTCTTAAAATAAATAGAATATATTAATTAAGTAAAAAAAATATTAAGTAGATAATTAATATACTAATATACTATCTAGAAATATCGAATGTACTATCAAGCTATTAAAAAGTAAAATCCAATAAAGAAAAATTCATATTGTATTTGTGGTAATAAAGATTTATTATGTGGCTATTACACAGTTGGTTGAATATCACTCCCAAAAATATGTTTATTAAATATATAAGATGGAAAAGATTTTTTAATGATTTAAATTAAATAAAATACAGAATACATTAATATGATGTTTAATAATACTTACAGTGCTAACGGACTCTATACGAAGTAAAATTATTACTAATTATAACACATTGTATCATATTAAAGATAAATGAAATTACATTTTTCGAAGATTATAGTTTTATTATTTTAATTATTCTCATCATTTAGTGTTATGCATTAAACTGAATAAATTAACTTAATTATTGTACAAAAATATAATTATTTTTTAATGTACATTAAATTAAATCTTTGAATTCAAAGATTATAATATTATATTATATGAAAAATATATATTATAAATAAATACAAATTATAATATAAGAATTACTAGATGATAATTGTTATCATTGCAATAAACAATATATAAAATAGTCGGTTATTTTAATTGAAAAATATTCCTTTTCAGTCAGTTATATCTATTTTTTATATTTAAAACTACTATTTTATTGTCGTGTATGCTTTGTCATCATTTTGAATTATTAAAAAATTAATTAGAGTGAATCTTTCACTATATAAGAAATCTACTAGAATCACATTTAAAAGCAGTATT